AGAGGGCTGAAAGCCCTATGAAGCGGTATATAAGTCTAACTGCTATTGCTATTGCTACCCAGAAAAAAAATGGCTCAAGGCTCCCATTTCTCAATATTTGTATTTGCTTGGGTAAGTGTTTTGTCACTATTTCCATGCTACCACCCAAGCAAATAGGTTTCTTCAATCAAAATAGAGTTGGAAGGGACTTTGGAGATCTTCTAGTCCAACCTCCTGCTCAAGCAGGGAACTCGGCCTATACCATTTCAGACAAGTGGCTGTCCAGTCTCTTAAAAATCTCCAGTAATGAATCACTTACAACTTCTGAAAGCAAGCTGTTCCATTGGTTAATTGTCCTCACTGTTAGGAAGTTTCTCTTTAATTCCAGGTTGCTTCTCTCCTTGATTAGTTTCCATCCATTGTTTCTTGTCCTGCCCTCTGGTGCTTTGGAAAACAAGTTGACTCCCTCTTCATTGTGGCAGCCCCTCAAATACTGGAATACTGCTCTCATGTCACCCCAGTCCTTTTCACTGGACTCCTGCAACCATTCATCATATGTTTTAGTCTCCATGCCTTTAATAATTTTAGTTGCTCTTCTCTAAGACTGTTGTTTCTCTTGAGTTTTCTCTCTTTCCCCCATCCCTTATGGGATGAGCCTGTGTTTTTCTGGGCGTTGAGTGTACGTGCATAGCTACCAACATTTTTCAACAAGCCACCCCATTAAGTAAAGTAGAGCAAATAGAAAGCAAATGAAGAGCAAAATGCTACCTGTTGGCCCCCAGCCCTTCATGTAACAGGAGTGCTTCTGAGCAAGTCATTCACAGCTGTAGCATTGCTTGGATTTCAGAGGCAAGGAGCCCCCTCTTTTCTTTTTTCTTTTTGCAATTGGCTTCATCAACATTCATGAGACAACTTCTCTTTCGCTGGGGATGAAATCACTGAAATGCAGGCAGAAATGTTTCCTAACCTATGGTTTCCTTCCCACTCTTGACCATGGTTGTAGAGCATTTCAAGGCATTTTGGAAAAAGCAGGAGGGATGGTTTCTCTCCTCTCCATACTAGAGGGAAGAAGACCCCTTTCGTCATGCATTTGCGTTTAGGGAGGTGTTTTCTCAGCTCCCTTACTGCTGCCTTGTAGCCTGGTTGCTTAGCAACCATCTAACTCAGCGGTTCTCAACCTGTGGGTCGCAACCCCTTTGGGGGGTCAAATGACCCTTTCACAGGGATTGCCTAAGACCATAGGAAAGCACATATTTTCGATAGTCTTAAGAACCGAGACACCAATTTTATGGTTGGGGGTCATCACAACATGAAGAACTGTATTAAAGGGTCGCGGCATTGGGAAGGTTGAGAACCACTGGTCTAACTCTTTATTCTTTGTTTCCCTTCATTGTTGTAGGCCTCATGCTGCCTGTTGCCATATCTGCAGTTATTTGAAACAGGAACAACAGCAGCACCTCAAGGGCTCTTTCAGCAGGGAGGGCCAGCAGTGGCCATTCACAAAGTAGTTACCAGTTTTGCAATGAGAATGCTCCCTGGCCAACATAAGCCTTAACCTGGGTGGGAGACCTGTTGAGTGACACTAAGGCTGTGACTGCTGCTAAAACCTTCTTCCCTCCCTGGAGGACGTCTTGTGCCCCAGTCTCTGCATTTTTTGGGTTTCTCCAAAAAGCATCCAAATGTTGCTGCAAGTCACAAAACATTCCTCGGAGAGCGACGTATAGCTCATGACTTAAAACTCTTGGTTTAAAGCAAGTTAGGATTAACCGTGGTTTTATATTCCATTTGGCTCCCCCCAAAATAAGCATTTTTAAGTGTGGTTTTTATTCTCAGTTTAGTTTCATGCCATGGTAAGTGAAAAATGAAGAGGTCGTATTGCAGTCTTGGATTATGTGTGAATCAAGCCACCGAATGGGTTTGTGTAATGTGTTAAGCACTAATTGGTTTGGTTAGTTTTGTATTAGCGTGCTGTGTGTTATATGATTTAGCCGTGATCTGTTTCACGAGGGAGGAGTTCATTAGACTTTGCGGTAGAGCTTTAAGTGCCTATTGTGACTTCCATCACACCAGCACGTTCATCGCAAGGAGAACAGTTAGTAATTCTTCCCTGCATGATCAATCCGTTCCTTTGCTTGAAATATGTTTGTGTAAGAGTGAGGAAAGCTTGTACTGTAATATCTGATATAGAAACCCTTTTCTTGGTTGAGGTTACATGCAGAAGGCTCGTGATGCCATTAACATGAAAAGTCTCTTGACAGCACGATCCTGAGTCATGGCTTCCAGGTGCAGCCTTGGCATAAAGTTTCATGCTCTTATCTTTAATATTACTGTCACTGATGTTTCTCAGGGAAAGTTTTGAGGGGCTGAAACAAAAATGACAAAAACGATCTGAAATCACAGAACATCAAACTTCCTTTTTGTTTTACAGTGATACTGTAGAGCAGTGGTTCTCAACCTTCCCAATGCCGCGACCCTTTAATACAGTTCCTGATGTTGTGGTGACCCCCAACCATAAAATCGGTGTCTTGGTTCTTAAGACATNCTCTCCTTCTTCTTCCTTCTTCCCTTACCTCTCCCCTGCTCTTCCTCTTCCCCGAAATTGTGAGATTTCTAAATAACTTGATGCAAACTACCGTTGCAGCATTCTGTAGCTTTCCAGTTTGATTAAGCACCAGATTTCATCATCCCAGGATGGCGATTGTGCATGCGAGTTGGCAGGGATGAGAACAGAGCTGAAGGCCATCAAACTGAGGAAGGTTTCCCCCAGTTTCTGCCATCATCTCCATGCCTCACTTGCTTGTGCTATCAACACCCTAACTGTGGAGAGTTTCAGCTGCTCTTCAAACACCAATCAGTGTGTTTTGTTTTACTTGGCATTTCACTGTAGACCATACATGTCTGTGGGCACCCTGAGAGACCAGGTGATTTACCCAGATACAGCCAAGGACATGGGACGGAAAGGACATACCGATTCTGACCTGGAGCGGATCCTGGACATCGTCAACCTCAATTATATTGTACAGCGTGAAGGAGGTGCGTAGCCCTCTGGCATGGATGGAGAAGGTGGCAATCAAACACCTTGACTTCTTTTACTGAGAAGAAATGCGTCCTGTGCCTCCTCTTGCCTTTATTTTACCTGCAGCAGGCAGGGAATTGGGTAGGTGGAGAAAATTCAACCTACAGAAAAAGTTAACAGTAGAGCTTCTCTAATTATTTTTTCAATCAGGTTGGGAAGCTATCAGCGATTGGAAGGATGTACTTTCAGGTGGCGAGAAACAGAGAATGGGGATGGCCCGGATGTTCTATCACAGGTTAGTGCCTAGAACTGCATTTCCAATGGTACTTTACGCCAGGGGATGCCAGAAACCACAGCATGCCGGAAATTGGGCCATGTAAACAAGTGAAGGGATGGGATACATGGGGTGCCGGCAGCACTTGAAACCGAGGAGCCGAGGTGGCGCAGTGGTTAGAGTGCAGCACTGCAGGCTACTTCAGCTGACTGCAGTTCTACAGTTCGG